CAAAGGGATGGTCGAGCTGCATTACCATGGGCTGATGTGGAAGCTGGGACGACGAGATGTTCGAGCGCTTACCTTCGTCCGTCGCGCCATCATCCAACACTTTAGGGCAGACGTCTTTGTACTTCGGCAGACGCCTCTTGAGCTTGAGCTTGAACATCCACACGAGTTTGCCTTGGAGTGCTGCTCTTCGGTGCATTAATCTAATTTTAGTCCAGTAATGACATAGGTGTGTGTCCCGCATACAAATTTGCACATTGTAGCTTGAATAACCAATATATAATTTCTGGCATACCGTAGTGACCCCTAAAATGTGTGCGCTGCCGCTGGGTACTACCAGGCACTCCTGAGCCTCTACGCGTGCGCTACCCAAAAAGGGCAGATGCGGTGGCTCAGGGTAGCAAGCGCCCTCGCTACGTAGTCAGATGCTGCTTCCTGATGCTGCATTCCGCTACTTCTCAGAGTCAGGGTCTTAGGTCATCCTTGAGGCCTTGAGGCTCCAAGGCTTACTGCGGTTCCTCAACACTTGCGCGCTTCTGCTTAAATACGAATGAGAAGCTTCTCGCGACAAAGGTGAGACATAAAACTTGCCGTTCGTACTCTCATCACCTGAGAAGTGTCCTGCACCCACAGTGACCGGGGCTGTCTCTGATGTTGCACCAGTAGGAATACTTGATGCGATGGCAGTAAGAGCGATGTCTTCCTGGCGCATGTCTTTCTCTGAAGCCGTACGTGCGTCGTCATCCCTGCACATATAGGCCACTACGTCGGGAAGTCAGAGTCAAGTGTCGCTCAAAATTTGGCACCCTTACTACCGTGCTCGCCTAAGCGGACATTAACGTCATGAGATAAGATTCTCTTCATGACATGCCTCTTCTTCACCCCATTCAGGTACTTGTCGGGCTACAGGGTCACGTATGAGACGTCGACACCAGCTCTTAGACAGAGATGACTGACTGGGAAGACAGAGTAAAAGTCTTCATAGCAGGCCACGGCGGCAGTCGCAGTGGGACGGCGCTGAAATCCAAGTTCAGTATCGACAGGAAAGATATGCACAGCCGAGGATTGCTTGCCGCCAAGATTAGGTTGAATAAATCATCCAGGGGATCGGAGAACTGGATAAATCTCAGAAATGACACCCGCAGAACGTTAGGCGAAGGACACACTGATATGGGGAAATCACCGCATTTTGCACAACAACAACCTCCGCGGAGGCAGCCCCGGAGACAGGAGAACAACCTTGCATATGGATTTGGCTTCAGGCTGTAATAGCTGACGAATAAGCACTGGTCGCGAGGTAGCTTTTGCTGCTCTGTCGGAGCACCGGGTGTTGCAAACCGGGGGTCGTCGGCTGAACTCCAGCGGTAGTCCGTATCCACGTGACGGCCTGTGCGTCCAGATATAATTTGGAGCGAGAGTGAACGATCGGCGAGAGTGAACGAGAGGCCGACCGCAGGGCCCGAGTTCGAGACGGCCGCGGTCTCCCAATTGGTGGTCTTCAGCCAACCAGAGACGAGGATAATCGCCTCTGGGCGGATAGGAAAGCCAGACTTGGTTGCAAGCTCGTACCAAGACGAGTGGTGTTTCGCAACGTAGTCGGAGAAGCGGCGGTTGCTCCTGTACCCCTCTCGAAGACCGAAGTCGCGAAGGACAGCGGTTGCGCCTCGGCCATCAGGACACTCGAATGTGTAAGTCTCGTCGACAGACTGGCTAGAATGATAGCGTTAAAACAAGGTGGTGCGGGCTGCGAGAGTACAGCACTTACGTAGGGTCCGAGGTCCCTGCGTCGGCCTTGTGGAAAATTGTGTTGGGCGTGTAGATTGGGCCCGGAGGGACGTGCTCAGAGTAGAAGTCTCCCTTATCCGGCTCGAGTACCACGAAGCCGTTTGGTACGCCGCCAGCATTGAGAGGGTCACTGCTCGGACGCATAGCGTTGAACAGTCGGACGAATGCCCCCTCTAAAAGATGAAGCCGACGTCTCCGGTCTCAACTTCATGAGCGATCCCGGCACGCGAGCAGATCTCAGGATGCCACAGGGCGTATCCGTAGCCGCGACCTGCCAGCTGCTCGCCGTAAGTGAGCCAGGCAGGAAGATACGACATGGGGACGAATGATACGAGGCTTCGGGTCTGGTATGCGTGGAGGCTCCGTGGAAGTACTGCACAAAATGCAGATGGAGAACGAGCCCCTGTTCTCTGGTTGGGTATTAGTTAGGGACATCCGCTGTTGACATCCTCCAGGTTGCCCCTCTCGGCCACCACCGCGCATCCATCTGCGAATAAGTCCTAAGGCCTCGGGCCTCAGGTACTAACTAGCGCAAATGATGCTAGTCGCTGTCACAAGACAGGCTGAGGCTAGCTAACGAAGCAGAGCGGAGCCGTACCGCAGCGGCTCTCTCGACGTGGTGGCGCTGTGATGCAATCACCTCCGATCCGGACTTTCCGCGTCAGTCCCTCTCGTTCAGCCTTCGGCGCCCCTTGCATCCGTCTCGCCGTCTTCGTACCGAGCCCTGTTCAGGCATTTTTCTCCTAACGGGAGGGAGGTGTAGTTTCAGTGCTCCGGAACAGTCACTCGAACTTATCCAGTTACGCCGGAATAAGTGCTAGTAGACGAGATGTTATCTTTTTTCGAGCTGCGTTACTACCCATGGGCCATGCCAGACCGTCCGCGCAGTCCTTCCACTGCAAGGATGCTTGTCTTGCGAGTCCAGGAGTGAAAAAGAAGATACAGAGATATAATGGGTCAAATTCATATTCGTCAAGCCGCAACGGGTCTCCTTCGCGCTACAGGACTAGGGACGCCTAGAATTTTGAAAGCCCTAACTTCAAAGCCCGTACACCTGCGCGCGTGACATGCAAAAAGAAGTAGAAAAAGCGTTCCTTGGATAAGATAAGAAAGCGAACACGGGCCTTAAGCTGCAGAGCTGCGCTTGACCTGCGCGTCCGATGCCATACCCGTGCTGGATGGGAGACATCACATCAGCGCTTTCTTTCACTGCACTGGTAAAATATGACGCTCACGGAGGCGTGCTATCCTTTTCGGCCAGCCGTGCGCGTGTCGTCGTCTTGGCAAATGTAGGCCGCTACGTCAGGAGGTCAGAGTCGTATATCATCTAGGTTTTTCGCGCCCTTACCACCGTGCTTGCCTAAGCGAACATTGACGCCACGAGATAAGATTGTCTTCATGATATCCTTCTTCTTCGCCCCATTCGGGTACTTGTCGGGCTACGGGAGCACATATGAGACGTTTATAGTGACTCTGAAGGTGAACGAGACTGACCGGGAAGACGGTGCGAAAGTCTTCATAGCAGGCCACCGCAGCAGTCGCAATGGGGCGGCGCTAGAATTTGAGTTGAGTACCGACGGAAGATAATGTACAACCGAGAATTACTTGCCGCCATGATAATATCGAACAAGTCGTCCAAGGGATCATGGAACTGGGCAAAGCTCAGAATCGAAACTTACAGGGCATCAGGCTGAGAACGCACCGGCAAGCTTAAGCTGTCGAATCCTGGGCAACGTCCGATACCGCTGCCGCAGAGGCAGCTCCGGAGACGGGAGAACAACTTTGCTTGTGGGCTGGGCTTGAGCCTGTAGTAGCTGACGAACATGCACTGGTCGCGAGGTAGCTTTTGCTGCCCCGCCAGAACACCAGGCGACGCGAACCGGTGGTCGATATCAGAGGGCGGGCCCAAGCGGTAGTCGAGAGACAGTTGACCTTCCGTATCTCCATGTGCCTTGAAATTTGCGAGCCCATGGGAATAGGGGCCAGGATCAGGAACGGGAGTGAAAGAAAGACCGACCGCGGTGCCGGGGTTCGAGGCGGCCATGGTCAACCACTTGGTGGTCTTCAGCCAGCCAGAGACGAGGATGATAGCCTCCGGGCGAACAACAAAGGTTCTAGTTGCGGACTCGTACCAGGACGAGTGGTGTTTCGCGATGTAGTCGTGGAAGCGGCGATTACTTCTGTACCCCTCACGAAGGCCAAAGTCACGAAGAAAAGCAACGGCGCCTCGGCCAGCAGGCCAGTCGAATGTGTAGGTTGAATCGGCTAATTGACTGGATGACAGTGTCAGACCAAGGAAGCGCAGGTCGCAAGAGTGCGGCACTTACGTAGAGTCCGAGGTTCCTGTGTTGATCTTATGGAGAATTGTGCCGGGCGTGTAGATAGGGCCCGGAGGGGACGTGCTCAGAATAGAAGTCTTCCTCGTCCGGCTCGAGTACCACGAAGCCGTTTGGCACGCCGCGAGCGTTGAGAGGGTCGCTGCTGGGACGCATAACGTTGAACAGTCGGATGAAGCGCCCCTCTGAGATGAAGCCGACGTCTCCGATCTCGACTTCATTGACGACCCCATCAACCCTTACAGGATGAGGGTTCCATAGGGGATATCCGTAGCCGCTAGCTGCTAGCTGCTCAGAGTAAGTGAGCCAAGCGGCAGGACCTGGCGATATGGAGGAGGATAGAACTGAAAGATGCGAGGTCTCGAGTGTGGTGAGCGAGGAGGGTTTCGTGGAAGTACTGCACAAAATGCAGCGACCCCCTGTCTCTTATGATCACTCGAGGGACATTCCCGCTGGTGGCAAATGCCGGCGGACGTCCTGTCTGGGGGTTTTCCGCCTCTCTCCTGGCGTGGTGGCGCTATGATGCAATCATCTCCGATCCCGATCCGGGCTTTCCGCGGTTAGTCACCCCTAGGTGGTTCCTTCGGCACCGACATTCTCGTCCTGATCGCAGTATGGACTGCCAAGCCCTCCACCTTCCCCACCACATCCACCTTGCCCACTGGCCGACAGCGAGTGCCGTCTGGCGGCTTTAGAGAACGCTTCTCGACTTTGCCATCTGCCTCTGCGTACATCTCGAATCATGAGCGACCGGGACGAGGATGAACACCTCGCGAAGAGGAGACGTTCCAGAGCCTGCGACCAATGTAGGAAAAGAAAAGGTGCGTATTTTCGTATATCATGGGAAGGGCGTGCTAACCTGAATGCGTCGCGACTGTCGACGCTTGGCATGAACAGTGCGATGTAAGTGATTATCGGGCGACAAAAGAACCCACTCTCATGGCACAAGAATGCATAGGCGACGGGTCCGAAGAAGAAGGAAAATCGTGCTCGACCTGCACGGTGTTCAAGAGCAAGTGCACGTACGTTGCGACTACGGAGGTGCGCAAGGTACGTGTCAACGCTTTTTTGCAAGACTATCTCTCACTAGCTGATTCAGAGGCGTTATGTGGATGGCGAGTGAGTGTTGAAGTAGATCCTCGATCTGAGAGAGCTGCTGAGGATGTTGCAGATATGTCAGAGCTTTGGAATCGGAGGTGATGAGGCTGCGGCTTACGGTTCGGCAGGTGCGTCTTTCAATGGCCAGGTATGATAAACACAGCGCAATGACAACCAGTTACACAGCTGCAATCAAGGTTCGCCGAACTGGAGAATTCTCGACTTGCAAGTGCCTCTACCGCGAGCAGCCCGACGTACTCCTCTCCCAATCACACGCCATCGGCTACAGACGTTCCTGTCAAGCAGGAGGAAACTGGGGAAGATGAGGGTCTCGTAGAAGGCTTCAAGTATATGAGTATCGATCACAAGCCCGCTCGCTTCATGGGCAGGTCCAGCAACTTCCCCCTCATCAACGCCGCGCTCAAAATGAAGCGAGAACTCGTTAAAGACAACAGCAGCCCGTTGCCCGATGGAGGGTGCAATCCTCTGATGCTGTCGAAACGGCGCCCAGAATTCTGGATATCTATCTCGGTACGAGCTTGCCCGCTGCGAACGACACTTTTCACTAACGCGTCGTACTGTGGTAGGACTTTATCCCGCCAGAACTCCCATACACCGATTTCCCGGAACCGTCGCTCATGAAT